GATCGACAAAGCTCTGAAGTAGCTGAGAATCTTGCTGCAGAAGACAAAGGTAGGTTAAAAAAGAGAAAAGAGAAAAGTGTAAAAAGGTAACGTCTAGTGGATTTAATAACAGTAATACCAAACACGAGATAGTCTAGTAAAAGTAGAATGGTCTTGAGTTCAAGAACATCTAGAAAAATGGTAATTTATTCTGGAGAAATGTAGCCTCAAATGCTGAAAAGTAAGCAAAAGTAAAAAATGTGGTCTTTCGATGACGAAATACATAAGCTAGCTACAACTACCCCGGAGGAAATTAGGGTAGGGATAAGCATCAATAAAGAAAAAAAATCAAGCCAGGATCGAACCCCTATTTGAATCGATAATATTATAGCTAATAGTAAGGAAATTCCTGAAGCTTTACATTTGGGAAAATGTAGAGTAGAAATAAGAATTATATACAAATGACAAATTCATATACAAATCTTATGAATTCGTAATATAAACACCATGAAATGTGATTGCATGATTGCAAGTGAGGACCTAACCTGGATAAACCGCAAAAAATATAGGAATAATAATTTCAAACATAGTATAATGAATCGAACTGATGTTCAATTAGGGAATAAGTGAACGCACCATCACCGACATTGCAGAGGCGGGCGGGAATGATGAAATCGAATCGGTTTGTATTCCAGCCTTGCGTAAGGAATGAGAATGCGAAGCGAGTGGCGAGGACTGTGGTGAGGTTGCTGCACTATTGGCGTTCTGGAAACGTGCGGCCTGTTTGGTAGTAGAAACATGTGCCTGGAGCAAAGGTCCAGTACTGGGCCGTGCATCCGATAGGAGACTGGTCAGAATGAAGTTGACCGCCAGAGTCTTGGCAAGAGCCATCAGGCTAGGTAAGTCGAGGGTATTTTGCCGAATGTCCAGTAATTGGAGACTACGGGATTCGCTTAGATATCCTGAGATCGCGAAAATACCTGAATTCAGGAAAGCAACAAATTAAGGACGAATGTAAAATGTAGTAAAGGAATTTCGAGTAAAGATGTGTAGCAGGAAAGCTGACAAATAATTTAAATAATAAATGCAACAAAATAATCAAAGGCATCCTATGAACCGATATAGATCAGTTCATCTGCAAAAGGTTGCCTCATATTTGTTCTAGGCTAAAGGGATATGAATACTTAATAATTTGTTGGGCAAGTGTGTCATTCCAGCCTGATTGATCAAGCATGAATCAAAAGTTAATCTCTTCATCCCTTCAACTAATAAGCAAGCATAGAAGTAGTTATATGAGACGTATTCATTCCATTTCGTTGAGGTGATAAAGGACTGAAAGTTGAATTTATGGACAATCGTTTGAGTAAGCATTACGCTTCCATTGAATTTCATATAGCCTTTCTTCTCAAAAGTTATTATAATCCAAGCTGGACCGCCTCGATCGCATCAACACCCCCAGCGGGACTCAAGACAAGACCTATTCATATACATGTGGGGAAATTCAACTCAAATTTCTTCATCATCTCAATGAAATAGGATGAATACATGTAAAATACATGATCTAATAGCAATATGAAAACCTACTTATGAGTGAAAAATACGAGTAGTTCATCATAGTAACTTGCTCATTCTCTTCCACCCGTCCACTTTTAGTCTAAACTGAATTATTCCCTTCTTCACACAATGAAAGACTGACAAATCAGCCGAAGTCTGTCTAAAATTGTTCTGCATTTGTCAATCAGGTCTCAAATTACAACAGACTCACCAGCAAAACGCATATTGACGCCACGAAGAGCCAGGCTACAAAGGCTATGATTGCGTATCAGGCCTTCGCACAGCACCTCGACCCCCGTATCTCCTATTCCCGAGTTCATGCTCAGGTCAAGATGAGTGAGTCCACCGGCGATTCGGTTGCCGGTAGGATTGGAAACAGGTCCAGCGCCTGTTGCCAAGAGGCTTGCAAGATCGTGCATACTAGCAGCTGTCAAGCCGTTGGAGCACAGACTAAGACGCTCAAGGCGGCGCACCTCAAAGTCAGAATCTAAGTGATGGTGTTGAGTTTCGTTTTTTAAATGCACATCAGGAAGCTGTCTAAGCTGTGATGTTGCCTTGTCCAAACACGGCTCTTCTGTCACAGCCTTAAACGCCTGCTGTGTTGGTTCGAAAGAGGGACTGACAAGTATGGAAGATTCTGTA